GGGGGGGGAGGATGGGGTGCTGAAATGACAGCAGATGGCACAGCTGGATCAGATAAACAAAACCGTAAGTCACCAGCACTGCTGAAGGTTTTTCAAGCAAAGTTCTTTTTCTTCCATATGTAAAGTACTGATGAATCGCTTTGTTTTGTCTGATGAAGGATGCGCTCCGAAACGTTGCTACACTGGGCAATGTAACTTAACAGATGTATTAAAAATAACTTTGCTTGTTGGACCTTCAGGAGTGCTGGTGTCTTACTGTTTTGTTTACCCTTTCCACCAGTCCCTCTTCTTTCACATTAAAATCCTCCTTTCACATCAGAACCCTCCCCCCCCCCGCACATCAGAGCCCTACTTTATAATCACCCCAGTGTGACTTCGGCTGCATGGCAGAGGGTGGGAGGTGGTGAATGTTTGGCAGGAGGTGAATTTATGGGGGAGGCTCTGAATTGGTGTCATGCATTTTCATGGGACTGGTGCCTGGCTCACCTGCACCATGGAAATGCATGATATTGTGTGAAAATTTGAAGGCACCCTGCTTTAAAAAGTCCTTAAAGGTAACACATCAGCCTATCCAGTGCTGGGATGGCTGCTGGTAATATACATTGATGCCAGGTATTACCCACAGCATTTCTGGTGCTGTGCTTTATGGCCCCCTGACTGCCCACCCACAATGTGCCATGGCGACTGCTCAGGACCATACACGGTGCCACAACTGGAATGCTTTGTTGTGCTGCAATTTTAACTCTGCTTGTTAAGTTTGACAGGGGCATCGTGCGCCTATCAAACTCGGCAATTGAAGTCAATGGGACCTTGCTGCAACCACGCTCCAAATGCTTACTGTGCGATTTCGGTGTGTTTTTTTTTATAATGCAAAATCTACCTGGGTGGGGGATAAGGTAGTTGGGTGGCAGTATTGCTTCTTGAATGCAAGCAAACTGCCGCTTAGCCATCCTCCTAAAAGCGATCCAGAGCCTGCCAATTGTGTAAAAAGAGGTCATACAGTGCAGGAATTTGTTGTAGAATGGACAAAAGGAGATCCTGTTGTTGGTACATGTGCTGCCAGTAGGTGGAGTGGTTGGCTCCTTTTCACAGTTCAGGCTCTCCTTGGTTCCTCTGGATAATACCATGGTAGATTTGATTTTCAATGAGGTGGTGTGAACTGAGCCCATGTGGAGCAAGGCAAATTGTCTTGTCTTGCGCTTTGGCTGTGTTGGGGAAAACTGGGTGTGAATGAGCCCTTTGAAGATCTTTTACTGCCTGTTAAGAATATGTAGAACAGGGCTCAAAATTTCCACTCGCCCCCTCGCAATTGGCGAGTGAAAATTGCGTGGGGGCGAGTGGAAATCCGGGGGGGGACTTCCGCCGCTTCGGCAGCG